ACAGAAAGTCAGGAAAGACGCACCGTGGTGCTGCTAATGGAGATACGACGATCCTGAGTACACAACTGCGTCAATCAGAACGCTTAGTAGGGGCTTGCTCAGCTCCGTCTATTCGAAAGTGTTAAAAAGTATGGGGTAAGGTAGTGTGACTGTTGCTGAGCGTTGTTGGGCGTTTCTTTACAACAAGACTGGAAATACCATTGCAGTGGCAAGCATCAAAGATTGGAAAAACCGCTGAACCACAAGAGACGAGTTCTTTACAACAGGGACCACAATACAACCAGTTAAGTTATTAATAATCATCCCATGGCAACGCAAAAGATAGATAAGGTCAGGAAGTGGAATGGACATAGATGACGTATGTCGCTTTTTATTTCATTCGTATGACGAGGAAATAGGACGAGTGACAAATAGGACAACCACTGATAGTGCCGTCAGCTTAGCAGGGCAGTTTGAGTTAGTAGGGTTTTCATCATCACCAATACACCTTAGAAACACCTCAGCTAATGTGCCCCTACACAAAAAAGATAGGAGATTAAACGCTACAGACTACAAAGTAGAAAAGTAACATAATGCTAAAATCACATTATGCAATGTGTTGGAGATCGATGTTGGAGGGGAAGCTAAAGGCGGAGGAGGTGGACAAAGATCCTCAGAACACAAACGCCAATGAGGCCAGCTCCTCGCCATGTCAGTTAGTGTATCCAGCCAAATGTGTTCATTGTCATTCAGTCCCTGGCCCGGTAGTCGAGAAACACCAACCGACGCCACTTATGAAATGAGGGACTTCATCATCCCTTTTGATCAAATTATCGCGTGGTCGCCCCTCCTCTTCTTCCGTCCTCACCTCCGGCGGGCAAACAACGCGAGATGCCGGAGTCTATGTGCTTGCATGCGCAACACGTAGTTCAGCCATCGGAGCCTGGTGCGGGATATAACGATGCAGAACGGTTCAGTCGCTCTTTCTGCATCAAATACGCGACGCCGAACATGCTCATTACCCACGCGTTGTTCCCACTAGGCATGAGCTAAGCTGCGAAAGCAGCGATAGACGAATGTAACAAGCCACTCTATGACTGTCGACTTGATGGGCCGGGGTTCGCAAACGTACAGATGGGTTGAACGGACGGCTGCATTGTAGGAGTGCGCAGGGTGGCAGACACAAAAATGTTGGCCGACTAACATTGACACTGTACACGAAATTATACCATAATTTAGATCAATTAATCTTGGAGCATCAGTTCGGTTCCATTCAAAGTATTTAGTTCCGGTACAAAAGTGGTGACCGTTACACATATTGCTGGTTATCTGAATGAGAATAAATAACAGGGGTGTTGTTGAGAGTGCAGTCCTATCACTTGATCACGTTTAAAGGTGACATATGTGACAGTGACAGCGTGGTCACCCAAAAAACGATCGTCGCGACATCGAACACAAAGCTGGGACAGCGAGAAGATTACGGTTAACGTTGGTCTATTGGAGACGCATCTTCCCAGCAACACGATGAACACTGTAAGTCAAAAATAAGTACAGCCAAAGACTCGATTGACCTTCAGTGTTTCTGAGTACAGTGTCATCCTGCTTGAGGACGCAAGCTCCACGCAAGTAACACTTTACATAACCTTCTGTTGGGTACAAGCTCTGTAAACAATGTTGTCCCAGTCGTCTCCTAAGCAAAGCATGCAATGACCTATCGCATCAGTTAAAGACTGGTGACGTTGGGTAAACCAGATCAACAGGATGAGATAATGAACGTCTCAGAGAACCTGACAACAATGTGAAGCTTAAAATTCCCGAATGCCACTGCTGCCTTCGACACACGGATACGCAGCTCACTGTGTATCTGATGGTCAGTCGAAATCACATTCCCAAGGTAGCAGAAGCGGTAGGTTGTGTCCAATACTTCGTCACCAATGGTGATTCGCGGCAGTATTGCAGATTGTCCCTCCAGTGAATGATGAAAGAGACCGTTTTGCTTGGATCAATGGTAAGCGCGAATTTGACCGTTGTCGATGCCAGAGCACTAGTCATGTGTTTCAACGCATCCGTGCTGTGTGCAAACAACGCACAGTCGTCAACAAACAGCAACATACGGATAGCTGTCTCACAGAATACGGACCTCGCACCGAAACGACGGATGTTCAGCAACCCACCATCAATACGGTGCTCCAGCCGAACACCGTAAGCACAAGCGGCATCAAAAGCACAAGATATTATTACACGAAGATAAATAGTAAACGGAGCAGGAGCTAAAACACAGCCTTGCTCTACACCCGAGACAACTGCAAAGTCATCTGAGGTCTCTCCACTCAGCTGCACCCTCGCCCGCATACCACTGTGCAGACATTCAAGGAGAACGATGATTGTGTAATTGCAGCTATCAGTTTCGAATTAGAAGTCCAAAGAATCCTGGCTGATGATGTGAGTAGACTACCAGTAACAGCCGATACCATTCGTATGGAGACATCACGGGACAGAATCCTGGAGAAAGCGATGCAGTTCGTACGAATATGTAGGCCAAATGGAGGCATACCTATGGAGTTGCGGCCGTTATACAATCGACTTGGATCCCTGTCAGTCGTGGACAATTGTCTGATGTTTAGAGATCGAGTGGTGGTGCCAAAGAAATTACAGAGGCAAATATTGCAGCAGTCCCATACGGGGCACCCTGGTACCAGCCGCATGAAAGCCTGGGTACGCAGTTTTGCTTACTGGCCAGAAATGGATTCGGAAATTGGAAAATTTTGCCAACAGTGTGAATCTTGTCAATTTGCAGCGAAGGCTCCTCCCAAGTATCAGTGGCAGCCTTGGCCTAAAGCAGAGAAAACGTGGCAACCAATACACTTAGACTATACAGGACCAATCAATAGCCAATACTATCTCGTTTTGGTCGACTCATTCACCAAGTAGTCTGGTGTGATTCCGGTAAACAATCCGACTGCACAGCACACTGTCAACGAGCTGGAGAAGCTGTTCCGATATTTCGGCCTGCCAGATGTTAGTGACGGACAATGGAACACAATTCACCTAAACTTCTTTCCACGAGTGGTGCAAGGAAAAGGAAATTCAGCAAATATTCTCACCGCCATATGATCTGCAATCAAACAAACAAGCGGAAAGGTTCGTGTATATGTTCAAATGTGCACTCTGTAAAGCAGGGCAAAGAAGGGTGTCAAGGGAGGCAATCCACTTTTTCCTATGCATGTATCGGAACGCTCCGAACCCAAACTCCCCTGATGGGAACTACCCCACAGAAGTATTATTTAGAAGAAAGATCCGGACGTCGTTCTATAATCTTTACCAAGGAGAATAGAAAAGCCCGACAGTAGTCACCTAGAGAAAGATCGCAAAGTCAGGCTCCGTAACTTCAATGTTGGTGACATGGTTTACGCCCGGGATTTTCGAAGGCCGAAGGGGTGCTCGAGCGGAACTGTTATCGGCAGGAAAGGCAGAGTTATCTACGAGGTGATGATTGGACGTGAGCGGCGGATTAGGCACATTAATCAGTTGAGACCGAACCATGGCAAAACCCAAGGTCAACACGAACCACCAGCCTTGCATTGGGACATTCTACTAGACACGTTCGGGCTGGAAGTTGAGGGTCAGAAACGCGCCGAGGCAAAACAAATACTGCAAACAACAGATGCACAATGCAGGCCAGCTCGGAAGCGGAGAAGACCACAATGGCTGCAAATCGATCCCCGGGCGAAAAGCTACGAACACAATCAAGTTCGAAGGGTCTGCAAGCTGACTCAATTCGAAAAGGGAGGTAATAGAGACGCAAGCGGAGCTGAATTTGGGAATCGAGTGAGAATTGATTGGCCAGCAAATACCAGCCCGCGTCAAAGGAATCGAACTATTCCGTCAATATGATTAACGCGTGGAGTGGAACTCACTCACACTAGCTGAAAACCAGACGTAGAATGGTAAGCGACCTTGACCTCCTAAATTAACATGACTACATTACCAATAAACAGTTAGCCTATCCTGTAGATATTCTCTCTGCATACCGAGTTCTGGCCTTTTGTATTCCTTCGGTTGGCTAGGCACGTGACTGAGAAGTCAGACAAGTCGCAGTCTCATAGGGCAGCTAGCAGCAGTACAACAGTTGTCAGTGGCAGAGAGCAGAGGGAAAGAAGAAGCGTCATAACATAAACTTACAAACTTACGCGGACAACCAAACTTAAGCAACACCAGCCACAATGCCTCGAGGTTCACCGTATCAAGCACCTTGGTGAAATTAACAGAAAGCGAGTACAATGTCTGGTGTCGTTCACTGCACTTCTCCTGCAATTGACGAGCCGCAAACACCATATCTATAGTACTGCGACCCGAGCGGAATCCACATTGCTCTTCCACCACGTTAGGTTCCACAAACTGACTGACGAGGCGGTTGAGCAGGATTCGGGCAATCGCCTTGCCCACACAACTCAGCAAGTTGATGCCACGATAATTCGTGGCACATTGCATGCTACCTTTGCCCATGTACAATGGTAGCACAAGGGCATCCTTCAGCTCAGGAGGCACATCCTCCTCAATCCATACGCGTGGCATCAAGTAAGGCAGCACAGTCACCAAGGCGGGTCCGACGTGTTTCAATATTTCATGCGGGATGCCGTTGGTACTGGCACGCTTGCCGTTTCGCAGCTGAGCAAGTGCTCTCTAAGTCTTATGCAGCATACGTGTGTCGGTAAGACATGCCTTAATCTCTTGTTGTTGCAGCCAGTGCAACACAGTCCAGTCGATCACTGAACGGTTGTTCCAGAAACAGTCAAAGTGATGTCGCCAGATCTGCATAATGTCTGCAGTCTGTGTGTTTTGATTCAATTCGCACATCAGTTCAAATTCAAACCATCTAATCAGTTGAAGATAGTGCGTGTAATGGACGAAAGAGGCAAAATATCCCGTTGTCCACTCAAAAGTTTAAGTAGTGAGCTCAACCAGAACATTGGTTTTACTATCAGTCTAATGCGCAAAAATAAAGCTGAACTGCAGCTCACCTGTTTGCCTCATATAATCGTCGGCGAACGGATAAAGCGCGTTCAAGGCTCGAGCGGCAAGCAATCGCATACTGCCATCCCAATGGCCAAGCAGCTGGTCGGAAAGATGGTCGATCATTGGTATCGTGTACTCTGCGAATTGAGCAACGAAGACGCTGAAAAGTCAAGGTTGGTATAGAAATGGTGTTGGGGATGATTATTATCTCAGATAAATAGACTGCACGAATGAAAATATAGTGAACCAAAACCAAACAAAGTTCGACTGGTTGTGTCTCTAATGTCAATCGGGATTGATGTAACATGGACTGCTGAAAACACGGACAATCAAGAAAGTCTAATTGGTGGTGATAAATGTCTGGGAGAAATTAAAATCTACTCTAGTACTATAGTTCATGAGGACTAATGTGTCTATCCAGTTTGTGACAGTTCATAATGAAGTCTGTGAACACACGTGCATATGTTGTATTCGAACTGCCATTGGACAAGGATGACGCCAATCTATGTATATGTGTGTACCGAATGAATTCGAGGAGGATATTTATACCGTTTTTGTACGGCTAACTTACTACAGTAAAATGACATTCGAGCAAACCGAAAATAACATTACCAGAACATGAAGAAGGTGACTTTATAACAAACTCATGTTGATTTCAGGTGTTGCGAATTCAAGGCAAACTTGATCGATGCGAATTTCGTGGACTGCTTAAAAGAGCAGTGTCTCAGGTGCCGGAGAAGGCACCATTGTGCGGAATAGAGGCACCATGAGTAACTTCCCATTAAATTTACTAACCCAGGCCAATAAGGTGGCGTGTGTGGTACGTTTGCCTGCGTATTGAGTAATCTTACATTTCAGAAGTAGATGTTGCATGAGCTCCTCGGTGTGCATGCGCCTGATGTGAATGTTGACCAGGTGCCTACCTGTCTATTACCTACTATCTTTTCCATACTGGCTCCAGGAGACAGCTGGTCGTTGGTGGTGGGGACAGGGTGCCCCGTCCTCGTGACGGTGCTAAGCTTAAAGAGTGATTCCATCCTGTGTGGAACGAGCTACGGTCCAGCCAACGCCATGTGTACGTCTGGTGAGCATGATTTCCCAAGTAGGCCGGAATGCTTCTGTTCTCCTTGTTGTAGGAGTGTGGGCCGGCTCCGTTTATGAAACGTGGCTCCCATCCACATTCCTCCCGGTCTTATTCCTTCGGGTTTACACCGGATATGGGGTATGTGGGTGGAACTGTGGGTGGTGCAGCGTAAGCCACCCATGGCCCTCTTTAGGTGCAGGCGTCTTGTGACTGTCCCATGGAGGTCACACAGGCAAATCCGAATGCCGCCAAATCGTATATATGTATATATAACTTCAGGCGTATGAAGAAGCGTTCCATAACGTGGCGTCCCCCTTCGCCAATACATCTGTGGTCTCAAATTGATCACATTGTAATTAGCTTCAGGTGCCGCGGCAGCGTACTGGACTACAGGTCCTTTTGGTCCACCTTCGTTGACTCACATCATGCACCGGTCGGCGCGAAAATCTGTATGTGTTTTGTTTGGGGGGGGGGGGGCGAAACACGAAGTACCGCAAGATTGATGTAAACATTAACTGATTCCTCTGTCCAGGCAAGCTAACAGTCTTCACTGACATATCACTCAGTTGCAATCCACTGCAAGACATAGTGCAACACTGGACTTGTATACAGAAAGCGATGACCAATTCCGAACAGTCAAGCTGCGGTCTAACTCGACGTCCCCTGGAGTTGTTCGAACGCCGCAAAGATATCCCGTCAGAATCAGATTGCAACGAGCGGCGCCGTTCTGCCAACCGGCTACTCAAGCAAAGCCTATGCAAGGATCGCGATGCATGGTGGTCTGAGCGTGTTTTAGAGATGGAGACCGCTGCACTCTCTGGAAACACTCGCAAGCTTTTCCAACTCAAAAATTCCCATTTAGAGTCATAAGAACAAGAGACCATAGGTGAACAATTGTTTTCGATGATTCTCTTCAGACCATTACAATCATATTTAAGAGTAAAATAATGAACTGAAATCGACTCATTGGGTTAAGTTACATAGTTAATTAACGGATCAGTGAGGGAGGCTAAAAGTTGACCATTGATCTGACAGGTCGATTGCATGTTATCGAGCTTGATCTGTGGCAATCGACCTCAATATCGTTCGTTCTAGCTGGCCAGGGAAGCTGTAAAGCATGGATCAACTTCTTTTGCGAGCACAATTAAGGTTGAAACAACCGAATGCAAATCAATTCAGCTGTCGCGAGCGCACGGAGGCGCAAACCTCTTGATTGACGCTGGGGGACCCTGTAAATTATCCTGAAGGCACGATTTAGATCGACTTGGTTCCCCGCGTCGACAATACGGGCTCAAATGGCGCTGCTAATGGCCATTTTAGTTCATTATTTTACCCGTAAATATAATTGTAATGGTCTGAAGAGAATCATCGAAACAATTGTTCAACTACGGTCTCTTGTTCTTATGACTTTTCCAACTCATTCGGTCCACCGGCCTAGGAAGCCTGGTGTCAGTGAGATGATGTGCGAGGTGGATGAGTCTCCGATCACTAACCAACAAAGGCGTATGGACCGCTGGGCAGAGCACTTTCACTCGCAGTTCAACTGGCCTCCACCGTCCATCAGTACAACTTATTGTCCACCCTGGCTCGTCCCACTTAATCCACCCAACGAAGCGGAAATCTACCTCGAGATTCAACGATTGAAGCGGTGCAAGGCTGCCGCCTCAGACGGACTTCTGCCAGAGCTGTTCAAATACGGCGGTGTGGCGATCATTAACCAGCTGACCTCGCAGTTCGCAAAAGCCTGGCACGAAGATAAAGTGCCTTCCTCCTGGGGCGTATCAGTTATTGTCCCGATTTTCAAGAAAGGCGCTCGCACTTCATCTGTAAATCATCGTGGGATTAGTCTTATTTCGGTTGCATCCAAGCTATTGGCATCCATTCTGCTGCGTAGACTATCCCCAATGCGTGAAGAACAAGCTGGCTTCCATTCCGGTCGCGGACCAAATCTTCCCGCTCCGTCAACTCCTCGAACATTGCCACATTTATCACAGGCCCACTATCGTTGCATTGCTAGAAATACGTGCCGATTTCGATACCGTTGATCGACCTGCTCTATGGCGTTGCTTGCTCAAGAACGGGGTGCCAGAGAAATATACTGCCATCTGGCGAGCACTTTACCTTCATAAATCCGGCAGAGTGAGGGTCTATGACAAGCTCTCCTAGCCACTCGCTGTCAATAGCGATGTGCGGCAAGGCTGCCGTATGTCCCCATTCCTCTTCAACTTCGCAATCGAAGACGTCCTGTCGAATGCTCTGGAAGGCTTCCAACATTTTGGCCTAGAGTTTCTACCGAGTGAGAGCTCGACCGACTTAGATTATGTTGATGCTACCGTCTTACTTGGTGACGATCCTCAGGGTATGCAACTCATTCTGGTTCGATTAGCGGTTGAAGCATCTAAATATGGCATGAGCTTCGCCCCTTCGAAGCGTAAGGTACTGCTCTAGGATTGGCTTACACCTGCTCCCGTGCTCACTCTCGGAGGTGCACAAGTTGAACAGGTAGATAGTTTCGTCTACCTTGGGAGCTATGTTTCTGCTGACGGCACTATCAGCAAAGAAGTTCCTCTTCGCATCGATAAAGCCAAATCAGCAGTTGCAAATCTGAGGCACTTGCGACGGGGTCGCGACGTCACACTCTCGCTAAAGGACCGCGTTTACAGCGCATCTGTTCGTTCAGTGTTGCTGTATGGGAGCGAGTCCTGGTCGATTGCAGTGGAAGACATGCGTCATTTTTCTGCCTTTGACAATGCTTTCTTCTGGAAAATTGCTCGTGTTTCGTGGCAACATCGAGTTAACAGTAATGGCGTTCGAAGTCGCAGCCTGGGGAATGCGAATATTCCCTTCAACAAACTGGTTTTGCTGCGCTAGTTGAGATGGCTCGGTCACATTAAACGCATGGCAGCTGAGCACCTACCGCGTCGCTCTCTATTCGCTCGCCAAGGACCTGGCTGGAGGCGACGGCGTGGTGGTCAGCCTTCCACTTGGCGACTGCACATGAAATCGCTGACGTCATGTCTAGCACTGTTGGACCCGTAAGTTTTTCAAGATGGGGACCTAAAGATGAGGATTGCCAATGGTTTAACACTCTTGAAGACATGGCCTGCAACCGAAATCAGTGGAAGAATTGCGTACAGTATTGTACTGATTCACATGTTTCATACTTCAAACATTGAAAATGACAAAAAAGAGAAAAATCGGTGTGAAAAACAAACTAAAATTGTTTTGTTTTACTTTTTTCAACATGTTCGTTTTTTCCTGCGGCATAGTATCTGAAGTGTGTTGCTCACCTTCAACTACTACGCCATGATGATTATGACGCAGTGACTTCCCCTTATCTGCTAATCTACATGGCTTTATTGGATCTATGTCTAGTTTCTAGACTGTTGAGATTATATACATACATACAGATACTTGGATCTCTAGACGACTTCTAACTGATCACCACCAAGGGTCAGCGCAGGTGGCAGTCCCTGCTAGTCTTGGAGAAAAACTTTGCATTTGACCGGAAATCAAAGCTGCAGTATCTCCGGGAACAAAGTGAGAAAGTGCCGCCAGTCTGACATGATGATGCTAAAGTGTGAGCATAATTCGGTCCTTGCATGCGGGTTTCCGATAAACAGCACATTTCAATAGATAGGATCCCCAATGTTCGGACAAGTGCTGTCTGTTGACCGATCTGTAACAAACTGCGCAGGTTAATAGCATCTAATTTTTGGGGACTCAAAATAAAAGCGGACGAACTGAGGCTGTCCGCTTAGTTGGACATAGATTTGTCGACTGGGCAGGAGTAAGGATCCATGATTGTGTGTGAATCAAAACTAAGAGACAAAGGCTCACCAAGGGAAAGCGGGGCCAAAAATTGGAGGGGGTTGAAAAGGGAGGGGATAAACGTGAAGTTGGGACAGGATGAAAAACCATAAAAGAGGGAACGAGGAGACGCGGAGGCATGAGCGGCACAATAGCCGTGGTTCCTATCTCTAGCTAACATGTACGATAAATAAATGAATATCCAACCCGCTCGATCCAGTAGATAGGGCGCAGTTGATTATCCCCCGAGCCAACCAGAGTATCCAGAAATTGTGCCAAGAGTAGTTCATTGTATTGTGTGAGAAGGATACTGCCAGGTGGCCCAGGTCTAGACAGAACCAGCTCATTTGGTTCAAAAGCAGGGTCACGGGTTTGGCAGTGCGCTACAGGAAGTCACCCTCACTCCAACCTCTAACCTGGAGAACCAGGAGATCGAGTGCGTCTCGCCGCTAACCGTTGACCAACCAAGTATGGTTGATACCGAAGGTGCAAGAAGCATCACCCAGAACAGCTTAATGGATCGTTGAGACACAAACTATCGTAGCACGATAAGATGCAGTCTCATTGCGATAGACTGAGGTGGACCCAGTTGCCAAGACCCACTTAATGATGGTAATAACCAACAACAAAGGTGGGGAAAAGAGTTGCATAGACCCTGCGAGTTGCTCTCACCCATTCTATATAGTGAGAAGAGCAAATGTAGACAGGAATAGACAGGAAAAGTGCACTGCTTATGCAGCAGAGGTATGCTAAGGCGCTGAAAGTCCTACAAGACAGATTCTGAGCTCCAAAAACATACAATTGCATGAGCCAGTAGGAAAAGAATGAAATAAGTGCCAAATACCAAACGTAAGGTAAGCGGCGATGTTACCGTTGGTGGGAAACTGTTAAGAAAAATGTAAAATAAACCATTCAGTCACCTAAAAATGGTCTGATAGGTTGCGTCAATGTCCTCTCTATTGCGAAACGCCGGCGATTCCTGTCAAGCACCGGTTAATTCAGCTCATCCGTCAGCACGAGGCGACGAGACAAGTCGGGTAAAATGAGCTGCTGCGCTAGCCGTAAGCAAAAGCGACGAGTAAGTAACCTATAGGACTAATCCATCACTAAGATCTGCGAAGTAAGAGCAATACAGTCGAACAATGAAACACGATCGAGGTACATGAAGGTGCGCTGGATCGATCGACAGTCTTGCTGATGGTAATGTGGATGTTGGGTCTAAGCGTTCGGTCGAAGCTGGGTGACGTGATGCGAAAGGTTGGATTGAAAAGCGGTACAACTATAGAGCAGGTGGGACATGAGTCTAAGATATTCAAACATGGATGCATGTGACATATCTGGCAACAAGCAGCCGCGTTTTGCGACGACCACGTACGCCTCACGAATTGACCGCGTGGAAAACAATGAGCGAATATCATAAGAGGTGCACGTTCCAGACTGGTTAAGAGCTGGATATGGAACGCATCAAAGTAGAAAATAAAACGTAGAATGACGAGCCCTATGCAATAACAGAAATATGCTATTTTCGGAATAGTTTTTTCGAAATGCAGACTTAGTTAATACGGGACAGCTTAAATGTGAAGAGCACAAAGAAACTTACCTCAAATCTAGAAAACAGCTATTTCTGTTTCGCAAGGCAAAATAATCACAGGTTGTGATTATATCTATGCCATGAGGGAATTGGCCCTGAAGAAGAATCACATTATTTTTAGGCAAGTTGAAACAGCTGGCGTCACAAGTTGACATGGTGTAGTAGCAGATGTGAAGTGGGAACAAGTTTTGATCATGCAAGAAAGGAGCGCGCGGGTGAAAAATGGACAATCTAACGCAAGGTAGTACTTGACACAGAATGTAGATGAGAAGTTTGTTTTTGAGTTCCAACGAATAAAAACATAATCAAGCAATGCTATTGTAAGATATGTCGCTAGGTTTCCAGGCGGTGGACACTGTTCCGGTCCGCCTAGTCGAGTCTCCAAAAAATTACCCCGTTTCCGATTATAGAGTAAGAATCTCTTGGATTACGATAATTTTTAGCGATGAATCATGAAGATATGAGCCAGTTAGACACACACTATAAGGTACAGTTTCTGAAGGTCAAAATAGGCAAACATTCACCTGATGAAGACGATCGAGGCCGATGATCGGTTTTAAAATGTCGGATTATCGCCACGAGTACGGTGCCCTAAGCGGAATAGTATTTATTTTTAACCTTATTGTTTGAACTTGTGCAACGGACACAGAACGCGCGTTCAGTGGTGCATCCAAAACCATCGAGCCCGAATGTCAATCAAACTAGCTATGCAGATCCAAAACTAGTTCTCAAACATGATATATAAACAAGTAATGCTGTTTGCTTCAGATGGATCATCTAAGGATGGTTACACTAGAATTCAAAGACGTCTGAAAAGAGGTCATGTGAGAGGAACAGAAGTGTCGCTTAAGAAACGGTGTCAACGAAGTCGTTGTGAGTGACAAAATTTAAATCAAAGCGCAGTTACGCGTTTCCACCGGAAAGAAATAATGAAAAAGGCAGGAACTGGATAAAGGAACTCAACCGTTGCATTTCCAATGCCAACAGCAATATGAGAAGCAACAAACATGGTCAGGGAGTTCGGTACCCAACAAGGTTCAAAGAGTATGGAAGATGACACGATAGGGTTAAACATGACCGAAGGGCTCAACATACGAGGCTTTCTCATGGGGCATGCATAGTTAGATTCCGAATAGCGAAGGCGACCAGCAGCATGGAAGTATCAAACATGACAGGGGGCTTGACACAAAAGTGTCCCGTGGAAGGCGCGTACCGTAACGTTCAGTGTCGAGGATGATAAGTGACATGATAAGGCGAAATGAATAAATGCTTGGAGCTGGAGTGGGATCATGAAAGAACACCGTCTTAAGGTACATTAGTGTAAGGACTGTTACAGACGGGCTGGAATTCGGAGAACAGAATTATCACAGGGCGTGGTTAAATTGTGGCAATAATATTTCAGGGTTGGGATGATGGGCACCACAATGTGTCTTACGTTGGTTCTCTCCAAAGTCATCAGCCATATGACCGGGTTCGGTGTAAAACCAAGCTATGCATGTCGGGCATTAGGTTGAGTGGTTGTCAAAATAAGTGGTGCCATAGATTCCCGTGGTGCGATAAATAGGAAAGGGAACTTGGAAAAACATATTCACCGCAAAAAATGCTTCCACATATTCAAGATAATGACATGTTAACTGACGTGTTTAGGGCTATAGGAAAAATTCGAAAATAATACCCACAGCTAAGTTGAGAAAAAGAGTTACGGTTGATCCGTACAATGGAGCTACCGAACTGCAGTCGTACCTGGCGTCCGACATTCTCCTGAAAGGCCGCAGCTGCGGCCCTCCTTACATTGACTTCACGATCAAACAGACTGACTAGTAACAAGGCAGTGGCCACTTGGTTGACATATGCTGAGAAGTCTTGAGCGCGATAAGCGCGAGCAAAAGACCAGCAAAGATAGCATGCAGCGTCTCGCACATTGGATCCATAGCTGTGATCACCGGAACGTTCGTCGTAAAATAAGGCCCTCATGATGACTGGTATAACCTGAGAAGGAAGAACGGAAGATAGACAAGATGTACCATCTGCACAATCACACCACTTGTGATCTAACTAGGTGAAGCTAGTAGTCGGACGCGATCAAAACCTGAATTCTATAGTAATGGAAGGAAGGATGCCGACTAAATTTTGAGGGAGGGACTTGTCACAGCTATAGTCACTCAACCAGTCATTGCTTATTCGGTAAAGTATTTAGTTGTTGTTTCATATTTTCAGGGATCGTCGGAATTGCCAGTATGTATGTCCCCAATGGGGTTAGAGCCCGCAATCCGACTACCGCTGTAAAATTAAATAACTTCTGAAACTAGCTTACAGTCACATGGGATGGTGGAGACTCACGTAGCTAACCCTGTCCTCTGCGCGTTAGAAAAGCTCATAGTAGTGGGAGACAAGTGCTGCGCTATATCACAGTTAGTTACTCGGTCACCATGGCCGCCGCTCATCCCCATAAGTTGCGGCCCCATAATAGACAAAAAGAATGCGCATTACCATTAAGTTCCGAAAGGATGGCACGGTTGTCGTCCGCTTGTCCGGATTGCAATGGCTAGGTAACTGAGTGTGGCACTCAAAAATACCTTTCAAAAAGCCGAACTGTTTTAAGAAAGACATTTCATTCTAACCTCAGGCAACTTGGACGGCAGAAGTAGACTACGACGCCCCAATTCAGCGAGGGCCAAACAAGCGCCGTGCCATGAGGAGAAGGGCTCCACGCGAGTGCACAGGACCAAGAGGGCGGACACGACATCGTTCAGCATTGAGCTTCCCATGCGACTGCACATGCGCCCAAGTCTGGAATGCAGAAGAGTGGAGGAAATAAAGCGCACAGGGCGACACTCTAGATAAGTAGATCAATGGCCAAGCTAAAAGACGATTGTATCTGTTGTGATAGAGAAATACACCATTTTTTTCTATTTAGTAAACTGTGCGTGCTACCTAATTAACGCTATGATAATATTGCCCCACCCTGCAAAAGGAGTTTAATATTCACGTGGCTTACAAGTCAACACAGCAATGGGGAATTGCAAATTATCGGGCCTTACCCCTTAGCGGCAGACCATCGAACCACAGTGTACTGGTTTCGCAACGCATTCAGAAGACGGTCTATCACATCTGCGACTTTATCTGCATGCTCCAAGTAAAGGTCATCCTCTTCCTCTGCAAGAGGTATATCAAGGGATTCAGTGACCTCATCTTGCTTCCGTATTGTATCCGAAGAGCCTGAATCGGAAGCCAGCATAGATTTGGAACTCGAATGGTGCATGAGTTGTGATACCAAATTATCAGCCAGAGACCGACATCCCCGTTGATACTGCCATTTCATGGAGCGAGGCGGGCAAAACAAAAGACCAACGCGCTGCAGCAGTTTCGTCTCCAAATGGCTGAGAAGAGTTCCCTTATTCGCGGTGCATGGGATCTGCGACACGGTATGCAAGATGACGGGTGCCAGCGGCAGAACCTCATTCCGACGGCCGATTTTACATATGTTCGCAACTGCACGTAGTAACCCACACACTAGGAGTAGGCCATGGCTAGTTTTATCTGAAAGGAACAAGAGGGAGTATGTTATTCTGAAGAAAAGCCTCACAACGATGAACGGTGAAGAGATGATAAAGGGAGTGAACGCAATCGGTACAAGGCAAGCGGATAGATCCAGGCCCAGATACACAGGTAGGGGCTGAATTCAAGATGAAGGGTATTACCTCAGATCTTCAAACTGGGAAACGCAGTAGCAATGGTGAAATCGCAGTGCGGCCATCGATTCTCCGGAGGGGGTCGACGAAGTAATACCAAACAGCAATTGTGGGAAGTGAGTATAGTGGATAAACGGCTAATGAGTGAAAGGTAGGCAAGCTAACACTTTATGATCATGATGAACATCCTCACAGAAGCGATTAATATTCGAATCCAAGTAGTGGGCCATTTTGAGACATACAAGTTCTGAGACAACATGACTTGGATGACCCGGTAAATTTAAGTTAAGCGGGATAGGATATTAAAGTTTGCAACAAAAACCGATTATCAGGTCAATGACATGAGCCAAGCCCAATGTTCTCTAAGATTGAAAAAGAGTGAAAAAAAGGTTGGGGGACTGAGGGGCAGCCTAAATAGTGGATGAATCATCCACTTATTGAGGTATAAGTGGATACGAATTAAATCCATAGCTGGAAAGAGGAAAGGTCTGGGGGAGACACCTACAATTTCGTGCCATGGGATACAGGTAGCAATTGCAATCAGGTTAGTAAGAAAAAAGCAAACGTGCGATCCCGAGGGAAAGTAAACAAATGAGAAGCAGGTCATTATGTGAATTCCACATAAAGCATTGTTTTGACTGATTTGGAGCGCTGTTCCTCACTGGCAATTCGCTGCTTTCAGGTAGTAGGCCAAATCACAGCTAGATAGCTAGAATAACAACATAATCTGAAAGCAATTTATAAGCACGAATGCTCTCTATAAATCCAATAAGTAGGCTACATCTAACAGTGTTGCAAACATTTGAAAACGTCGAACAGCACTCTGGCATCATGGCGTTATCTCCATAATCAAGATTGCTTACACTCCATCGAACCACGCTGGTAGGAAAAAGCTGAAAAACTAAGATCATCATGATCATCATCAACAGCAGTACATAAGCCATGTAAACTGATGCTTCGCTGCCATACAACCATGAGGACATGAAATAAAGAATTAGAAGAGGGAGAGAAGGGGGACTTACCTGAAAACCTTAATGTCCTAAGCAAACATTCAGGGTCAAGGCGTCTACACCTTGTGTAGACATGCCGTCGCAAACAGCTGGCTATCGGGCAAAGATAAGGCGGCATCGGCGAGACAGCTTCCTTGCGGCATTCACTGCCCCGCGTCATAAGTAGCCATTACCACGCAGATAACTCAGCACACGTTAAACACACCATCCGATTAGGAGAAGGCACCTGACGCTCCACTGGTCTCGGTTGCGAGCCACGTCTTGTAAAGTCTCGAGCCAAGCACAAGGCGAGTCACGTGAACTTCAGCCCGGAAGGTGAGACGGACCAACAGCCCCCAGTTTGGCCGTCAGTGTCTCCGTACCCAGTGTAAACCCGAAGGAATAAAACCGAAAGCATGCGGGGGGGGGGAGCCACGTTTCATCAACGGAGCCGGCAAGCAGTCCTTCACAGGCAAACACAAGCACACTGTATTTCGGAATCAAGCACACACCAGTCGGTGGCTGGACCGTAGTCCGCTCCACAATGAGTGCATGGAACCACTCTTCGATCCTAATACGGCCACAAGGACGGAGCATCCCGTCCCCTCCAGCAACGACCAACTGTCTTCTGGAGCCAGTATGGACGGGATAGTGTGTAATAGACAGGTAGGTACCTTGTCAACATGCACATCAAGCGTAGCAACACCGGGGATATCAAGCAACAGCCAATACATTGAAATGACAAGATGACATAAAATAAGTCGGATAATGCATACAGATACAAGGACGTAACGCTTCACTAAATCGGTGTATAAAGAAAATGGATTACGAACGAATCCACGAAAAGTTCAAGAGGTCAGAAAACATAATTTAATGAAATGCCACAAACGCGAAATGGTTATCAAAATCAATAACAATAAGAATAAGCAACGTGTACGAGTTTATAGAAGACAGTATAGGTAGACAATAATACCAGAAAGAAAATAATTAGCGCAAAATTGAAAACCCATCAAATGAAACAACGGGACCCACTATGCAAGCACACGATTAGTAAATCGAATGCATCGTACCTACAAACGCTGCGCCGGTTCTGCCTACGTTCTCAGCGGGACACGTCGTCACTTCGGCGGTTGCCCTGAGTGGCCTCGCTCATGGCTCACTAGGCCTGCCTGACTCAGGCACTCGCGACCGCATGTGCTCCAGCACCATGCGCTCGATGTCGATGGAGTACAACTCATCGGCGCCTGCGCCTTCCGCACTTGCCGCTTCTTCTCTGCATGCATGAAGTCATTTTCCCGCACCTCAAACTGGCTTCGTGATCAGATCGCGCCATGCATGCCGATCAACCGCCTTCGATTCCCATAACCTGCAATCAAGATTAGAACGTGAGAGGCTCACTTTGATCATGTCCTGGTAACGTAACTTCGGCTTCCGCACATGCCGCTTCCCAATACTCAGCTGACGATATAATAGTTGTTTCAGTAGCCGCGTCGAATCCATACGCCACACATGACCGAGCCACCTCAAGTGTTTCAGCAATAGTATGCAGTTCACTGTATATATTCCACTTCGGCGCAACACTTTCGTGTCCGCTACTCTCTCACACCAACCGATGCGCAGCATCCGTCGCAAACACTGTTGATGGAAATGCTCGAGATATCGCACATCTTGCCGGTACATCGTCCACGTTTCACTACCGTCTAGAAGAACGGACAGCACCATCAGCTTCGTGCCAGCGGTAAGCTGATGGTGGTTCCACACTCGGTACTCTAGCTTCCCGAATGCCGCCGCTGTTTTAGAGATGCGGATACGCAGCTCACTGTGAAGCTGCTGGTCAGTCGACATCACACTCTCGAGGTAGCAGAAGCGGGAGGTGGTTTCTAATATTTCGGCAATATTGCAGATTGCACCTCCGGTAAAGGCTGAAAGAGAGACAGTTTTGCTTGTGTTGATGGCGAGCCCGAATTTTACCGTTGTCGATGCCAGTGCACTAGTCATGTGCTGCAACTCATACGCGCTGTGTGCAAACAACGCACAGTCGTCAGCAAATGGCAACCTACGGATAGTTGTCTCACAGGCTAGTTTTCACACCGAAACGACGGATGTTTAGCAACCCACTATCAATACGGTCCTCCACACGAACACCGTAAGCACAAGTCGCATCAAAAGCCCAAGACACCATTGTATGAAGATAAATAGTAAACAGGACAGGAGCTAAGACACAGCCTTGCTTCACACCAGTGACAACTGCAAAGTCATCCGAGGTCTCTCCACTCAGCTGCACCCTCGCCCGCACACCACTGTGAGACATTCAATTAAACTTACAAACTTACGCGGGCAACCAAACTTACCCAACACCAGCCACAATGCTTCGCGGTTCACCGTATCAAATGCTTTGGTGAAATCAACAAAAGCGAGTACGGCGGCTGGTGTCATTCTCTGCACTTCTCCTGCAACTGACGAGTCGCAACACCATATCTATACTGCTGCGACCTGAACGGAATCCACACTGCTCTTCCGCCACGTTAATTTCCACAACCTGACTGACGAGGCGGTTGAACAGGATTCGGGCAATCACCTTGCCCACACAACTCAGCAAGTTGATGTCACGATAATTCGTGGCCCATTGCTTGCTCCCTTTGCCCTTGAACAGTGGTAGCACAAGCGCATTCTTTATCGCAGCGGGCACCTCCTCCGCAATCCACACGCGTTGCACCAAGTGGTGCAGCGCACTCACCAACGCAGGTCTGCCGTGTTTCAATACTTCAGGCGGAATCCCGTTAGCCCCGGCACACTTGCCGTTTCGCAGGTGAACAAGTGCTCACTGCCTTTCATCCACTGTCGGCGTGTCCAACAGACTCGCCTTCACATCGTTCTGCTTCAGGCCGTTCAAAGCAGGCTAGTCAATCTCTGAACGGTTGCTCAAGAGACAGTCAGTGTTTTGCCAGATCTGCATTATGTCTGCAGTCTGTGTGCAGGTAGCGCCAGAGCGTCCTCAGCGGCTCCAATCTCGGTCCATACACCGCCTTCAAGGAGTCAAAGCATTAATTGTGTTGGCGACGTTGGGCGTAGCATTCCATCTGCTTCGCCTTCTCCATCCACCATGCATTTTTACTGCGACGGAGCTTTCAGGTCAGTCGCCGTCGAAGTTGGCAAAACTGACTATTCTTCCCCAAGTCACTGGGGTCTGCTACATGTGCAGCAAATGCTGCATTCTTCTCCGACACCAATGCGCCGATCGTCGCATTGTTCTCACTAAACCAATCAGGCCGCTTACAGTTAGCGCACCCGATGGTCTCCTCGGCAGCAGCTGTCACCTGGTCGCGGATGTGGTGCCTCAGGTCGTCCACTGTGGCTATACATTCCACATCACACAGGCGTGCAGCTATCGCCTTCTTCAGCTCGATACGTTTCTGCACAGTACCGAGGGAGAGAATGTTAAATTTACGCCGATTTACGGCGGGAGTGCAATACATAGATTCACGAAAATATATATACAGTTTGGTTCGCACCAATTTGTGGTCAGTGCCATACTCAGCTCCACGCAGTACACGTGTCATGCGCACTTCACGCATATCACGCTGACGTACGATGACATAGCCGAGCAGGTGAGCATGACCACTCCGTGGGTGCGTCCAAGTTGCTATATCACTCGCACTCAGTGCGAACCGAGTGTTCATGATCGTCAAGCCTTGAGTGACACACAGCGTGAGCAGCCTGTCACCGTTCGCATTCGTTGAACCAATGCCATGCGAACCGATAACATCTGTCCACACCGATGCATCACGTCCAACGCGCGCGTTGAAATCACCCGGCAGAAATAGTCGGTCGCCCCCGGCACAGACCGTATCACGGAGGA